ACAGCCACACCAGTGTTAGCTGTTTTAGCTCAGATTGTTTTGTCAAAAGAAACCGCATTAACATTAAACATTAAAGTACTTAGTTTGTCCACCAGAGAGAGCTGACAGGTTGATTAACTAACTGATTTATCGGCTTTGTATGCATATTATCCAAGTCATTTATTTATAAATATTTTTTTAATTGTGAAGCTGTAAAAAATGTAAATCATTTATATACTACAGTTAAAAGCAGGTTCTCTGACATAACTGTGGACGAGTAATACTCAAAGGGTAGGTTTAATCTGAATGCCACGCATACAACAAAAGGAATATATACATGAAGTAATGAATTTGCTAGCTAGAAAATAAAATAGTTTGCATGTAATAGGATCATGTAAAATTAAGTCTGTTAGAATGAGTTTTAAGAAGCAATTTAAAGGAAGTCACTGACTCTGCAAGCCTGATATCCTCAGGTAGGCTATAGACAAGAGGCCCTGATGACAAAAGTGTCATCTGCAAGTATGCTAATCTGGGGTCAGCGGAAGTAACCTGGGGCCAAACTGAGGCAAGCTTTAAAATAACTGTAAAAATCAATTCTAAAACGTATAGCAAGCCAGGATGGAAGCCTTTCTCCAGGCCTGAGTGTCACAGTAGGTTTCATTCTAGAGATGGTTGTAATTTTAGCAAAACCAAGACTGGACAGCATTTCTATGTGATATAACAAGTCTATTGTTTTTGTATGGAATAGGTAGATTCATCTCCCATAAGTTATATTAACAATCAAACCACCCACTGTTACGTTTCTGTACGTGCCAGTTAGTAATCGAAAGTTTTACTTTCAGATAAGGACAAAGGGCCAAGGAGGCTGATGAGGAAGGGGTTGGCCCTTATAATCATCGGCCATATAAACTTCATCTTTGGCGCCATTGTCCATGGCAGCATTCTCCGCCACATTTCCAAACCCAGCCAGCAAATTTCTACTGAATACACCGTGACCAACATCATCTCCGTCACCTCGGGCTTGCTGGTGAGTCAGTGGTTTTCTTTTTGTGTTTTAAAGTCAACTTGGCACTTCAAATGAGCATGTTGTGAACCAAGCGACATTAAACCTCCAGGAGTTTCTGCCTTCATCAAAACATTTTACTTTAAAGTTTTTATCACACAGAGCTATCTGCAATCACTTTTATATCAGCAGTTCCGCTTGTTTGATGCATGAGAACATCAAAAGCTCACTCGGGTGATTTATTTTTATTTCTTTTTTAACTTTACCTCAGTGATAGTGTTGAGTATGTTTCTAAGCAATCAAGACTGAACTTGCTGATTACAGGAGAGCCGGTTCTTCAAAACAGCTACTTGTCCCTTCGGGGCAGACCTCATTACAATTACAGTCATGTACCACATAAACTTGTTGGGGATAAGAAGATATTAACTTTGTTTTCTTTCATATTTTAAGAGTGTACAAGTAAGACATCTCATGATTTGAATGTTACAGAGTATTGCAACTGGGATTATTGCCATTGTGGTGTCAAGGAACCTTAATGTGCTCAAAGTGGTAAGAATTTAATTTGACTTCATTTACCAATATGATCACTTCAGTCACTGACACTTTGCACATCCCCTCATATATGTAATTTCTTTGTACTATCTATTTTCAGCAAATAGGCCTCCTGACTGCATCAATCCTGAATGCTTTGCTCTCAGCAGCATGTTGTGTCGGACTTCTCTTTGCCATTGGTGTCACAATTGCCCACGATGGGAAGGGTTTGATGGTCGGTTGCAGTGACACACAGGTGCCCATCAATGCTCGGTCACCTATTGGTGTCCGATGTCCATTTGATACTACAAGGATCTATGTGAGTTTGAAGTCCCCTTCCCTCAGTGTAAAACATGATTTTATTTTATTTTTTAAAGCATGACATGAGAAAGGATCAACATTTATCTCACATTTTCTCCTTTCCACCACCTCCCATCTCTCAGGACACCACCCTGGCTCTGTGGATCCCCTGTGCAGTGTTTTCGGCAGTTGAAGTGGGACTGTCAGTGTGGTGCTTCATGGTGGGACTGGCTCTCAGGGGGCTGCCACCCTGCAAGAACAACTACATCAAAGAGCAGGTGTGTATCTTTGTGTGGGCCAGATGAATATGCTTGAGGGGTATAACTTTGTTGTGTGACTCAAACATACACACACATACTTGGTCTAAGTCTGACACAGAAGTTATTCATTGTTACTCCTTCTCACTCAGCCATCCTTTAAATAAAGGCTACCTGTAGACATCCGCGCTCACTCTGTCATATTGCAAAAACCAAAACCGCTCATACTCGTCTCATCATGCCTCGTCTTTTGTGTCATTCTCTGTTCTAGTTGGAGGAAGAGGCCCAGTGCTCTCCTCACAGCCGACACCTGATTGGAGAGCGTGCGAATTTCGAACTGTAACTAAACAACAAGTAGCAAGCACATCTAAGAAGGCTAAATCCCAAAAAGCATGACTGCATCTCTGCACAGACTGAACTATTTCTTCTACAGTCATTTAGGGTAGTGTTACTCCAGTAATGTAGTGCAGGAATGGAATGAGTTTACTACAGTTGGCTGCTCACAGCTCCACTTTGTGTGCCTAATTAATGTTAATTTAGTGAACACATCACAAAAAAAAACCCCTATTGACTGATGGGATTCAGCGTTCATGCCAATGTAAGAGACAATATATACAGGTACAAAGTAAGATATAAAGAATGATTTCAGTCCTGTACCCCTACTTGACTGTTTGGGTTTTAAGTGTGCCAATACGATGTAACCTTTGTTCATGAAGGAAAAACCAGCAACAATGTTTTTAGATTAACTCAAGTATGTTTTAGCATGTATGCTTATTTCAGAGACATATAGCTTTTCGCAATATATTTAGTGTTTTACTGTTTGTACAGATGAATTAATCCACTGTGCTGCATTTAAGATGCCTTCAGCGGACCACAGAAAATGAAGTCTTGCTGTTTATGCAAATTGGAAACCTATGATGAAGATGTTATGTAAATTGGAAATTTGTTGTATTGAAAGATAATTGTAAAGGTAACTGAAATGAGCATCTTGGGATGGAGAACCCTATTTGCTTGCTGAACATGCCATTGATGTGGTTGTACTGTATTTAATATGCATTATAAAGTGTTTTTATATATTCTTTTTCTAATTACATTATTATTTGTCAGCTTTTTTTGCTTAAATTCTGAGAAAACATGTTTCAAAGAGATTTTAAACTAAAACTGTAGTGAGATTAAATTGAGTATGCTTTTTTTAAAAAGTAAACTTTTTATTGGTGGTCATACATTTGAAGTAAGCAGTAATCATTTTAAGTAGTGTCCAGAATTTTTTTAAGCCCATGCATTTCACACACATACTTTATTCTGTATCAATTAAACATAATGTGGACTTAAAGCTGTGTGCTTGGACTGTCTTTGTGCATTTACAGTACTCTGGTTATATGTTAAGTAGTGTTATATTAGGAGCTGAAAGCCAGAATGTGGGCCAGCAGTCTAAGCTGCACACACTGACTCAACGACAGAGGGGATCAGATCAGATCAACCATGAAACGGTTAATCTACTGGCATGTTCAATTGTGTGGAAGGGAATCATAGCTCACTAATCCTGAGGCTATCGGGGATAAATATTGACACTGTGTTGACTGATACAATCAAAACAAATCTGCGTGTGTCACACCGGACACATAGGCTTATATGAAACCACGAGATTAATACGAAGAGTAATAATCTTTGTTGTTTGTTAGCTTCATGTTTGAATTGTGGCGAATACAACAGTTTAAAAAAAACAACAACTCATTACAATTCAGATTTTTTTTTAAATTTCAATGCATTTTGTTTCTAAACTTAGCATACTGTCTTCATGAGGTGTTTTGTACCATTTAGTTCTACATCTGCAGAAAGCCCACACGCACAGCCTCCTGTGGGGCCAATTTAGTCGAGTCTTTGCGCGGTCACGTCGAATCCGCGGTCCCGACATGTCGACTGCGCGCCGCAGTCAAACCAGCTGCAAACAGGGAAACAAACGAGCTGCTGCAGTGAACGGAGCCGGTGGAGCAGAGGACCGCTCGGTGTTTTACACACAAGGTAAATCATTTATTACTGTGATGTTAGACCGTAACTGTGCTGCCGACTCATAATTGAGTGTTCACGAGCAAGGCAGGCAGACTTCAAGGAAAATGCGTTAATTAGAGGAAGCGCCCTACTGCTGCTGCTGGGCTGAAGACACTGCGGTGACAAACGGATTGATAAGCTGTGATCCTGGCGTGTCACCACCGTGTGAGCGCTTTGCCTTAACGCGGCGAAGATGCCGCACTGAAGCCCACCTTTAAAGATTTGTTCCCCCCTTAAAAACAGCCAGCTTTTCCACCCGGCGTGGAAGAGAAGGAAGCTAACGTTAAGGGCAGTGCCCCACTGTTACACAGGTGTTCGCTTGAAGTAGTTACCAATTTAATAGCGATAACGCTAGCTAGCTATGAGCGTTGAAGCAAGTTAGCTCGTGCCTAACGACCGACTGGGAGCAATTCACGCACTTGCGAATTAAAAGGCGCGATGCTGGGTTCTGCTTTATTTGAATGATGCGTGTCTGAAGTTTACTGTGTGCGCGTGTGAAACATCGCAGGTGTGCGTTACTGTTGCCCGGCCAACCTCTCACAAACACTGCAGTGGGGGCGGGGGGAGTGTCAGATGTTCTGCAGGTGTAACGTTCGCATTAGCGGCTTTGAACGAGAGTAACTACCGAGGTTTGCTTTGAACGTGTTTTCAGTTGTCTGCAGCGTAAACACACTGACAGAACACTCATAGACGAAAAGCACTAAAAACACAGAGACAAGCCAAGACACTATCTCTAAATTATACTATCACTCATTGTGTCAGGAAAACACAACAATCCTGCACATATTAGTGGATTTTATGAGATATTTAAACCTCGACGCTTGTATAGAGTAGGGTGTGGCTGGTGAGGGACAATACCAGATTTTAATTAAAATCTTTGTGTTTTTATTCTGCAGGACCTGCTTGATGGATCTAAACCAGTGTGGCAATTTATTTTTGAAATAACAAAATTTTCTCTGGCTAATGAATTAAAAAAACAACAACAAAACAATTCCATGTTATTTGTCATAGAAAGGGTTGGTTTGTTCTTTGAAATGTGTCTGGAAATGAATTAAGAAGCTGAACATTTTCAAGGGCGAAAGAAGAATAAAAGAGACCTCCAGCAGAAGGCTGAGAGTGGGACATACTCTCCGTTTGGAGGTGGGATTTGTTTTTGACAATGGAACCATCAGGAGGTGGAGGAAAATCATATAATGATTTTTAAGTGACAGTTCAGACCCAGAAGAGCACATACAACAGTTGCCGGCAAATGTGAATACTGTGAGAAAGAGCAGCACCATACGGGAGCGTACCCATTTTGTGGATTTTTCGTTCTCTAATGTGGATCTATTGCTTTAGCACCACTACTGGGACAAAAAATGTACCTATTTCCTTCACAGATTGCCTGTGTAATGGTTTACTGCATTATAATATCATTGCTCTGAGATGCTGTGGAGAAATGTCTACATTTAAGATGCAAACACCTCTTGGAAGAGGATATGTAAGAAACACCTTTCCAAAAACTGCAACGACTGATTGCATACTAAGGTTTCCAATCCATTATTTCTTCATGCCTGTCTTCCTGCTGGTCTTCTCCCTGGTTACACCTGCCTATGCCATTCATGTGGAGTCCATCGAGAGCCACAGTGAGTTTACCTGTGAGCCCATCAGACTGAGAATGTGCCAGGATCTGCCTTACAACACAACATTCATGCCCAATCTTCTGAACCACTATGACCAGCAGACTGCTGCACTAGCAATGGAGGTATGCTTATATATGTGTGTGTCTGTGTGTGAGAGTCCTTCTTTTGTGTCACAATACACAGGGAAATTGTTTATCTGATGCAGTAAATTAGAGATTTGAGATTACATGATTTTTTTTTTGTTTTTTGTTTGGTTTTTTTTTTTTTGGGGGGGTGGTTGTTTTTTTTTTGGTATAGATTGTCCTAACATGTAGCACAGGTCTTGTTGACAAGGTGTAAAATGCTAAATGGCTACAAAGCAACAGCTGGTAGTTTCACACTGTGGTGTGATGTCAGGCTCAGGACAAAAGGATTTCACACACAGTATAACGAGCATCATTGTCAAGTAAAGGTATTTTTGTATGGTCAGTGAAACAAACCAACTTGGGCAGTTTATTTATTCATCCATCTATCTTCCATGTTTCACTGTTTATCTGGAGTCAGATGGCTGCAGGCTAAATGATCTGTGCAGATGTTCCTGTCACAATCAATGTTTCCAGCTCCTCTTGGGGAACCCCGAGGTGTTCCCAGGCAATTTAATGATTTTTATTTCCTTAATCAAAGTATAAAGGAAAATTGTGCATTATTTGCAAACACAACTCTACCCAAATTGTGAACCAAAAACAGTTGTGCAATTTACCTATTTCCTTTATCATCCAGCTACAGTAACACACAGGTACTCTGGACAGTACTGAAAGCCGTTCCACGTAGAGACAGATGATGAATGCATATTGCATTGTCACACAGGCACTCTGAGTAGTAGCTGAGAGACAAAAGGTGCTATCTGATCCGCTGTACTGCTAACCAATACAGCTTATTTTCATTGTCCTGTCAGTATAAACATTCTCAATAAACACCTTGCAAAATGCAGTCTAAAATGCAGTGAATAAGAGCAGTAATTTTCATTCACACGCTCCATGCATTCACATTTTTCTTTCATATATATATATAAAAAAAAATTTTATTTATTTTTTTATTTATTTTTTTTAATTCAGTTGTTATAGGCTTTTCAATGTTTGGGATCAGTTAGACATACAAACTGGTCAGCTAATATGCACACTATATATAATGAGAATCATGTCACCATTACAAAGTTTTCCTTACATCATACAGGGATAATTAGCAGCAATAAAATATATTTCAATATGGTGGTTATGGAATTTATTTCCAAAGAAATACTTCTTTGTTTCAGGGCATCGGTTTTAAGCAATAGAGTGGCAAAGAGTACTGTGTTACACACTGTCTGAGAGCAATAGTAGACTCACACTATCCATCTGTATCGTGTTACCTCCCTTTCCTACTCTTTTGTTACTCCCGAAGAGCAAGAAAGGTGTTTCTTGGTGACACCACAATTACTTGCTTGTAGCAACTATTTTTTTTTAGTACCACAGGCAACATATACCACTGTACTTGGGATGTGGACTTGTTTGGATATATTAAATTACTTTGGTGCTGCTTAGTAATTCCCTGTTAAAAAGAGGAATGATGAAAAGGATAATTTACTGCAAACAAAAAGGTAAAATCCTTATAGACATGTTCAAGTCTCTTTTAGGGGAAAATTCAGGCCAAGTCGTTATACTCTGCAGTCCTTTGGTCGGTTTGGGGTTTTTACAAATTTCCAGGGCTGTAGAATGAAATCCCATTACACGTGCTGTTTGGCATACTTTTACCCATGTTTTGGCTGCCTTGCAACTGGTGGTCTGTGGTTTAAAAACATGGAACAGTAATGCATACAATCAGTTGAATTAAATCTGCCTCCAGCTGTTCATAGTTGGCGTATTAAATTCCCCCTGTTGAAAAGCAGATGAATTTGAAGAAGGCCTATGCTGGCTGTGCTTTTTGCATGTTTAATCTTTGGGGATTTTTATTTTTAGTTCATGTTTAGTTAATATTTTCCCATGTCAAAACAAGATGAATGTCAGGCAAAAGCGCAAGCCCAAATTCTCTGTTTTGCCCTCTTAATATTAGATCAAAGAAAGGGATTTCTGGTGTATTTTATGTCAGGATATGTTGTGCATGAGACTGTCAGACTCGCTGCTGTCATACGCTTGTTATTTCTCTTTAAAAGAATAAGGGGATTAGGAAAAACAGCTTTATTCTGGATTGACAGAAATGTGTTTTGAATGGATTCTAATACTCCTACAGTCATAGGATTCATTCAGCACATTAAGGAGCATGCAACTGTTTATATCAAGTCAACTCCCAAGCATCATGTCAAAACATGCTGTGTTAAAGATTGTGAGAAGCGTCTGTTGTTGAACTTGATTTGACCCAGATGAAGGAGCCAAGTAACTGACACCCTCAGTCTCCCTGCAGTCATGGAAGAGACAGCTTTCTGAAGATGGTTGAGTAGCAACATGAGCCCTGTTAGCTTCCCTTCTCTGGTCTGCTGTGACCAGGCATGGTAGTCCTGGTGGGATCCCTGGAGGTAATTTAATAATATCTCGTTGGACACTGGCTGCATAATACAAACGTGTGTGCTCACAGGGATATATATGCATATGCTGGTGTTTATGGGCATGTGTGTTAGTGCTCAGTTTGTGAGCCATCTTGAAATTGCATTTGTACTTTATTTGGTAGTGATTACAATTTTTGATTGTGTGCTTTGGTTAGTCTAGTATCGTGATATATAAAACTGGAGTACCAGAACTTGATGGTGAATTTTGTGTTGCATTTCCACTCCTCAAATGTTCCTATTGTTCCAATGCTGGCATCCTTATTTGAAAGCTATAACGTGTTGGCACATTAAGTCATTTTACAGACTCTATGAAATTCTTAAAATTTGAAGTAATAAACACAATTTCTGCAGATTCTTGAGTGCCCACATACCTTACAGCCACTACAGCTTTTCTCTTTTCCAAGAAAACCCTTACTGGGATGATTAAATTACCCTGCCATTTGTGTTATAGCATTATTAGTTGAACTTTCTGCTCTCAAGCAGCTGTTCACCAGCAGCAAAACAGTGGGGTAAACACATGAATGTTCTTTGTCTGCATAATTATATTTATACTAAAAGGATGCTTAAAGAGAGAATCCCTGGGCCAGTTTACCATTTTCCAGCTTTACACCAAATTTATTGGGTTTCTCTTTCTTTTGCCTATGCTTCACCACTCCAAGTAGTTTTGTGAAATGTAACTTTGTAGCTTTTGTGTAATCCTTCTGGCAAACAAACTGCAAAGACCAAAGAGAAAACTGGGGGTCTTTTTGGCACTTGAAGAGGATTTAAGGCTTAAGTATCTGCCTAATTTGGCATTTTCCTTCCTGCATAGCATCAGTACATTTTAACAAAGATTAGACGACCAGAACTAGTTCTGGTTTCAGGCTTTTGCAAGAGTTCAGAAATTATTTAATAACTGGACAAGTAGAAGTGATTCATTAAGAAGCATCATTAGGTGTGTGTCCATTTGGGATTTTTTTTTTTCTTGTAACAAAATGTAAAATAAACAACTGCTGCCAAAGCTGCGTGAAGCACTTCAGATGCCTTAATGAAACTGGAGCCATTCTAAGCAGCTGTTGTAGTCATTTTTTCGGGTCAAATCACATGATGAATGTTTTCTCTGCCTCAGTGGCAAAGCTTTCGTGTTTTGGCTTTCTTGCAAAGCAGACAAGCAGTGAGCTGTCATGTTATGATCCTGTCTGTTGTCAGTCAAGCTTCTCTGAGTCACAGAGCTGGATTTCAGAGACATTTTTGTATTTGAAATGGTCCTCTGTTGTACATTCGGAGAGTCTGGAGACTTGATCGACGCTGAAAATATAACCTTTTCCTTCCTTTTTAAGTTAAAAGCAAAGCCGTAAAAGGATCTTCCCAGAATGTGTTCATGATAAATCCAGGACACATTTATTTAGCGCTTCATTGACAAGTTCTAAGTACTGATCAGTATGTTTCATGTGTATAATTGCTGAGCCTGGCTAAGGGCTGATTCAACTCCAGCATTTCCTGTTTGAGTGTGTGTGAGAGAGGGGGAGAGAGAGGCAGAAAGAGGGGAGGTTAACCGTGCCAGCTGTCATCTCTCACTAGTGCTAACTAACTGCTAATCTCTCGCTCAGTTCCACAATGATGACATTGAGTCCCACAGACCGTCGGCCATCCCATCTGCCACAATAGTCAATTAAACATGATCAAACTTGATGGGAAAGTCAGAATATAAGGAGGGTTTTTTTAAGAGTAAGGAGATGAATTTTAAAATGGGAAAAGGGTGCTTGGGTAACAAATGAAAATATTTCATTGGGAGTGTTGTTGCATGCGCTCACATGTTTCCATGCTTTTGTGTCTGCATTGTCACTTAGGAATCCAATCTATACTGTCCATCTGCCGCAGCATGATAGGGCTCCCAGAGGACGTGGTACTTGAGGTCTGTGCATGTTAGACACAGTTCAGACATATGACATCACAGGGATTGAGTATCATCACTAAGAGATGGAAACTGATAACATGGCTCTAACTTAATCTGGGGTTTTCCTTAAAAGTGGAGATTTATTTCCTGAAAAAGTCTCCCTAAAATTACAGACACGTTATAAATTACAGGAAAAAACAACATCTGCAATCTTAGTAAGGTGTTGGGTTACCATTTGCTGCCCGAGCTGCTTCATTGCACCAGTGATGAAGTCACTACCCGACCATCCTTAGGTTTTTAACTGGGTTGAGCAGTAGTGACTATGAAGGGCAGTTCAAATTCTGGCTTTACATATTAAGGCTTTTTTGACACTCTGTCTCTATGTAGGGGGCATTGATAACCTGCAAGAGACTACTTTCACCATTATAGAAATGTTTCATTATTAAATGAAAGTGATCAGTTAGAAAAACATTTTGCTTTCCAGCGAACCTTCACATTGAGGGGACAAGTGGAGCCATCCCATAACAGACCCACCAGATCCCCTTACTGAAGCAGTCAAGGCTGGGATTATATTTGCTTGTGGACATACAGGGGGACAGCTGTGGACACCGCAGATGAATAGTTGTTTTCATAACTGTTTTTATGCACACTCGGAGGAGACATAAATTGTTGGGGAATTTTAGTGCATT